AGAGAGAGAGAGGGAGAGAGAGAGAGGGAGGGAGGGAGAGAGAGAGAGGGGGGAAAGAGAGAGAGAGGGAGAGAGAGAGAGAGAGAGAGAGGGAGGGAGAGAGAGAGAGAGGGAGGGAGAGAGGGAGGGAGGGAGAGAAAAGAAAGAGGAAAGGTAGTAAATTCCTTCCAATTATCAAGTTCAAATAATAACAATATTAACAATTAAATTATCATATTAAATACACACTCCACATACTTCAGTCAATTCTTGTAGAGTTTCATTAGATTCTGCCATGTCAATGTAAAGTTTAGCTGCCCTGAAGTAGCAGTGGTTGAGCGTGTAGTTGTGTCTGGAGGCGTTGAAGAGACTCCTGGGGACCTCCACAAGGCCGTATCCTAACAGAAACGCTAATATTATCAGACCCCATGTATTGGAAGCAGTGGCAATGATGTATGGTAGCTCAGTACTGTATAGAGAAGAGAAAGAGTTTAAAATAGCAAAAATAATTTACAATAAAATAGTTGATTATTCTAATTTTATGAATACTATGTAATAATAAAATTCCAACTCCTCTAAAATTGTAAATCAGTATAATTGCAATATACTATAATACAGTATAATCCCATCTCTCTCTCTTCCTCTCCCTCCCTCCTTACAGTGCTATTAGTTTCTTCACTAGTACTACATAGATGAAGAGTATCACTACAATGACCAGGAGGGATATATAGAATATAGCATTCTCTATTAAAGCTCGTAATAGTTTCTTCCAAACTGTAAAATAACCAGCCAGTACATATGACTGGATCAATGGTAGAATAATCCTATGAATAATGATAATAAAATGTAAAAAAATTGGGGCTGATTTCAGAGCCATTTTTTGGAAAAAAAACCATGGGCTATAGCCTTGGGTATTTTTCAGAATTTTGGCATTTTCTTAAAATGGCCGTAACTTGAAAAATTGAAGTCGGAATCAACTCAAACTTTCTACACAGCATAAGAGCATCAATATGTATCTGAAAATGTAATAAAAATTGGGGGTCATTTTTTAGCCATTTTTTGGAAAAAACCATGGGCTATAGCCTTGGGTATTTTTCAAAATTTTGGCATTTTCTTAAAATGGCCATAATTTGAAAAATTGAAGTCGGAATCACCTCAAACTTTCTACACAGCATAAGGGCATCAATATGTATCTGAAAATGTAATAAAAATTTGGGGTCATTTCTGAGCCATTTTTCGGAAAAAACCATGGGCTAAAACCATTGGCTATAATAGCCCTTGGCTTCAGTCCAACACTTTGCTTGACTCACATACCATGACAGAAGGAAGAAGAGCCAGTAAATGAGATACCACAAAACCTCGAGTGGTAGTTTACAAATAAAGGAATAAGGAAGGAAGCACTCCTCTTGTCTCGACTCGCAGACTCCAGTGAAGTTTGAGTTACGATCGAAAGTATACTTTCCAGTACAATAAAGAGTGGAGCAAGGTTCTGAGACGCCATCAGTAAAATTGTAAGCTCTTGAAGTAGAACCTCCTGGATCTAAGCATAGTCTGAAAAAGGCCTGAGAGAGAGAGAGAGAGAGAGAGAGAGAGAGAGAGAAATGCAAACAATCAATCAAGAAAAATAAACAAAAAATAGATAAGAATAACAAAAAATTACAATAAAAATCTAAGACATTTAAAAGTTAGTGGGCGTGGTTTGTAAAAATTCAAAGAAAAAAACAAAAAACTATATCGTAATGTACAATTACATATTATTATTATAACTAAGGTATAATACAAAGTAAAATAAAGCTAGTAATGATTTCTCTCTCTTTCTTTCTTACTGAAGACACGTCCACTGGCAATAGGAATATTATGACAAAGGAGAGGAACCATATCAACAGTGTAGAGCCTGTAACGACTGGATTCTGCCGCCTGATGTCAGAGTAAACGTACAGGAGGTATACAGCCAGGAGGAGAGCGAGGAGAAACTCTCCTGTGAGAATAAAACCAGGTAAAACATCCATTCAACAATAGAGGCCAGTGCACGGTGGTATACGGAAACGATACAAAACTTTCTTATGATACGGAAAATAAACGGATACTTCAAACTTGTAAACTAAAAATCTAATCAATTTTGAAATCTTTTCATTAAAATGATGATGAGAAATAAATAATAATAATAATAATATTAATAATAATAATAATAATCAAGGTACAATCACGAGCAACAAGAAGAAATCTACCTCTCTCTCTCTCTCCTTTAAAGATTCAGTATATTATAGTGAATGTCTTATGATACATATAATTGTTCATGTCACATGACTCCAGGTCATGTGACGCTAGTGAATCAGAATCGTTTAAGTCTCTGACTGGCAGCCTCTTCCTCTCTTAGTCGCTGACTATAATCTTCAAGATGATCTAAAAATACATTAATTAATATAATAGCAATTATAGTAAACAGTTTTTGATAAGGAATTAGACTTGGTGCCAAATGATTTAAATAATGACATATTAACATGGTAACTTTATTGGACAAATTTATTACCAATACATCGATATACCGTACAGCAGGAAATATTTGCGGGGAATTAAATTTTGCGAGTTTGCGATTCCATTTAAAGCGCAAAATTTAAATCCGCAAAAATAATGAAATTCATGCATGACCACAGTAGATAATGCTACAATAACTGTCAAAACCGCAAATATTTAATCCGCAAACCAGGTTATTTTTAAGGATTCGCAAAATTTTTCTCCGCAAAATTAACCAGCTGTACGGTATCAACTATAATAATTGTTACCTCTAAATGTTGAAAGTTTCTGCATTTTTTCATCAACAATCTTTATCAGTGACTGGATGTACACTAAAAAGAACATGTATATGTAATTATTAATTTCTTCTCTCCCTCTCTCCCCCTCTCCTACCATCAGGATCTCCTTCAACTCCTTCTGCTCTACTCAGTAAAGCTTCTTCAATGTCTATAGCGTTACGATACTCCTAAAAGTCAAACCACACCCATTAACCATGCCTACAAAAAGACCACACCTACCTGTATGATCTCTCTGTGTTCATCAATCACCTGGTCCTCGATCTGTTGGAGTCTTGAGAGAGTTTCGTGAAAACTTTTAAGTTCGTCTGATCTAGCGAGATAGCCGTCGTCTCTGCCTCCTGCCCCGCCCATCACATTATCATCATCTTCTTCTTCATCATATTCATATTCCTCCTCCTCCTCCTCTTTACTATTAGCTCTATTGACAATCTATTAATAACCATTAATAACCATTCATAACTAGATCATTCATAACTCGTAATAAATTAATAATTAATAAACCATTAATAACTCAATAAATAACCTTTAATAATGATGTTATAACTATTAATAAATATTAATAACTTACAGGGAATACTTCTTGTTCTACTTGTCCTCCTTCATTGCCCCTCTGTCTCTTATTAGGTAACTCTTTTACTCTAACCATCACATGATAATCACATGACATGTGTACATGTACATGTACTGTACCTTTCGGCATATCGGAGGGTATTAAGTGAGTTCTCCGAACAGCTGAAACCAGGAGATACCGTAGCTATCATGCAAGTACGAGCCCTGGGACCCACAAATGAGTCACGTAGTACCTGAAGAAAGAAACAGACATTTAAAGAGAAGGTTCGAATATTATTGCAATACTTTAGTTAAAGTGCTGCCTCTGAATGGAAGATGAATACTCTTTTTGCCTAATGCTCTGATACACTCCTATAATAATACATAAAGTATTAATAAATCAATTTAATATAAGTACATGTACAGTATAACCTCCTGCTATTGTGGACACTCTAAAATAAGGAGGCCACTATAATGAGGACAGGTAGCATCAGTCCCAATACAATAGTAACGTGTATTAATGAACCTCTGAAATAAGGACAGGTTCATAATCAGGAGCTAGGGTATTATTGGGTACCAAGGTGTCCGGAATAGACAGGCCTGACTGTACATGAATTATTCTCTGTCTCTTACTTTTAATGCTAGAAGGCTCTTGTTGATTTCAGCTCCCTCCCAGCGTGTTTGTCTGTCAGAGGAGCTAGTGTCTGCCCCTCTCTCATTGCCAGCCAGATCAATCAGTGATAGCTTGCCATGTAGTTTATTAGTAGTCCTAAAGAGAAGAGAGAGGGAGGGAGGGAGGGAGAGAGAGAAGAAGGAAGGGAAGGAAAGGGAGGGGAGAGAGAGAGGTTTAAGAGGGACAGTTTTAGTCCTAACCTTTTCCTAAGTACCAGTTGGAAGACAGCATGCGAACGAGATGAGTTCTGATTAGCTGAAGTGGTCCCAGAAGTTCTAAAAAAAAGAAAAAAAATAAATTAAAAAGAGAAGGGAAAGGAAGCACACACGTACCTCACAGAATTACCAGTTTCAATCAACTGAAGTACATCAGCAACTGAAGTGACTTTCACTTCTTCCAAATCAATGATCTAAAGAAAGAGAGCACACACATGTAAGTAACATGAAAATGCATGTACATATACATACATGTATAATTATTGTACTACACGTACATGTACATGTACATGCACATGTACATGTACATGTACATTACTCCATACCTGGACTTTAGACTTTGCGTCTTCCAGTATTCTCAGTTTCTTCTTGTTGTTGAGTAAGTCGTAGACCTTCCCACAGTATATCTCAAAGAAGCTCGAGCTAACGACGAGGTCCTTGCTCTCGTGGGTCACCCTGTTCAATCTGAAGACGTCAGCAGCTGGAAAATTAATAATAAAATAAATAATATCATAACAGTATATTGAATAAAATAATTGCAGAAAGAGAGTACAGTATATGTATTATATTAGTAGTAGTATAAGAAGGAAAGATTATTATCAATAGGGATACAAATGTGTTTGTCATTTTCAAAAAGGAAGAGAGAGAGTTAACATTAAGAGAAACGTAATCAAACAAAATGAACATGTACTGTACATGTACATGTAAGCATATAAATACATGTACATGTATCATCAAAATATCAACACAAACACATGTACATGTACATACATGTAAAGTAATGTATATATAACAGTATATTTATTTTAATTGTATTTTTAATTGGCTCCGCCCACACACACTCACCAGCCAATGCATAAATCCCTTTAGTTGCATCCTGTTCCCTTCCACGAAAATCTCCGCCCATTGTCTACAAAACGAGACACGCCCACATGTACATGTACATGTACTGGTCACGTGACTCACATGTGTTTTTCCGGAGCCGGTCTGTCCGTATGCAAAACATGTCGCCATGCCTTGATTGAATATTGTACTGACTAGCGATTTCGCCGAATAACTATAGTAATTAATTAATTATTATAAAGGGTGTGGTCTCAAGGTAATGAATAATTAATGAGGAGGAACTGACTGGTAGAGTAATTCGTTGTCGGCAGTTTCGTCAAACGAATAATCGAAACTAAAGGAATAATAATAATAATAATAATAATAATAATAATAATAATAAATAAATAAATAAATAATTTACTTGAATTTATGATGTTCTAGGTATTTCGTGAGGTCAACTTTAGTCTTTGGCTCGTGAAGGAGAGTAAGAGAGCCATCAGGTATTGTAATGATATCTATCTCTTTCTTTGCCAGCTCTAATAAAAGAGTTAAGAATTAATATACATGTACACGTATATATACATGTACATGTAATAATATTTCTACATGTACATGTAAACTCTACAGAAGGAAAGTGCTTGCAATGTAGATGTACATGTACAATTAATTTTATTTTTCTTACCTTTTTTAGAAAGTGGTCTTTTCCTCACACACACACAAATACGATCATCAATCACCTAATGGAAAGTGTACAAGATGTTGGCCACACCCACAGACACGCCCACTCACCGGCTCGTAACTAGCTATAGGTATAATATCCAATTCACTCCTGTACTGCCTGACCATACCAGCAAACTGCCAGTTGGGATTATCTGGATCATAATCCTATACCAGGCAATAATAATATTAATAATAATAATTGATAAGGTGGGCGTGGTTAATAATTAATGAGGTAGGCGTGGTTTAAAGGGACGCACTTCGCTTCTTTTTTGTTTCTTTTCAGCGATTTTAACTCTCCTCTCCTCTCTCTTCTTTTTGATGATGTCGACTTCTTTGACAACGTTAGATTTACGACTAGGACCTGAAAAAAATGAACATAAAAAACTTCAGTGATAATAAATGTATTTTTGTCACCTTTTCCTGTAGCACCTGTTTCAACCTGTTCCTCTACTACAGTATGCGTTCTTCCTCTTCCTTGAAAAGCCCCTCCCCCTCCTCCTCCTCCTCCTATTACAACATCAGGTACGTCTGAGGGTTTCACGGCAAGAGATCCGGAGGATTTGCTTCGAGGAAGACCACCAGCCGGAGGTAACTTAGTGTCTGAACGGGAGGATGTGATTTGTTCTTCTTGAGGAGGAGGGAGAGGAGGAGCAGCTGATAATGGAGAGGCTGTGAGAGAGAGGGAGAGAGAGAGAGGGGGGGGAGAGAGAGAGAGAGAGAGAGAGAAAGAGAACAAGAAGGGGAAAGAGAGGGAGGAAGAGGGAGGGAGGAAGAGATAGAGAGGTCATTTTAGAAACAAAGGAGGGAGAGGTATATTACACATGTAGTGTTATAAAAACAAGGTCATATATAGCTATTAAATCAACCACTGGAGACAGCAGGTACATACACACATAACAAGAAAACAAGAGAACCAATCAACCTTCAACTATACTACATTATAAATACTACAAATTCACACAATATAAAAGGATTAATCACATTAATATCATAACATGTAAATTATGCCTTTTCACACGTTCTCTCTCCCTCACCTTTAGAACTGCCTTTAGTGCTAATAATATTCTCAACATTTCTTAATCGAACAGAACCTTGGGGGCGAGGTATACCCTAATATTAAAAGATAAATAAATAAATGCATAAATAATAAATAAATAAATAAAAATAATATGCAACTTACGCTCAGGGGTCCTGCTGCAATGTTAGTTCTTCTCGATGCTTTAGTAGCTGAAGTGGGCGGAGTCATAAGATTAGCAAACTGAGGGTTGAGTTGAATCAACGAGTCAAGATCAATCTGAAAATAGAGTGAGAAAAGAGTTAAAAATCACAATTATGTTAAATATTAAAATAGACACTATTTGCAGTTATGCATCTGTCAAATGCTTGCCAATTTGAAATAATTTCGAATCCTTTGATCTAATAAAATACATGTACATGTATACACAAATTTTAATATGGGATGCATACCATAATTGTTTAATTTTAAAATATACTGGCAATTTTTCAATCCACAATATTAATTCCTTGCCAAAAACATGTATATACATGTATTTTTATTTTTATATGTATCTATATGTACCTCTTTTCCTTTAGTTTCTCCACTTTCATACCACTCCACAGACACGAGGCCTTTTAAAGAGTCTATCCCAGTCACTGATGCATCATGGACTAAACCTAAGAGTAGAAAAAAGAAAAATTTCAATCCACTTCAATATAAGGACTTACCACTACTCCTCTTAATCTTGACTGTGATTCCAACGCTCATGGCTCTCCTGTGTCTATCCATTATGCCTGGCTGTCTTCTCCTGGCTCTCTGGCTACTATTTTTGGTCCTGTTCTTATCTCACTTTTCCTTCTCCTCCTCCTACCAGAAAATCTTCACCTCCTCTTTGAATTAAACCGCGGAAATTAATCTTAACGGCTCCGTTCACGTCCGTCCGATCAACTCCGTAAAATTTCTTCGAAATTCCCGGGGACTTTTTCGAGGCAGTGCCCACTGCGCATGCTCACAAATACATGTAAATACATGTACACAAAACGCCATGTCTGCAACCGGAGATAAGGTATTGTTTTTCTTTCTTTTAAGTTGTTTAAAAGCTTCTTTTCTTTCCTTTTTGCCTGTTTTTAAATCTCTTAGCGTCAGAGCGAGTCTAGAACCAGCCCGTTGGAGGATTCCCCGACCACACCCTCAAGTGGGCTGGGTTTTGCTTTTAGACCTTCTCCCCTATCACTGGCGGCATCTAATTTAAGTAAGTCCACAACGTCTACCTTCCTTCTATCCCATATTCTCGTAGCTACATATAATCGCTCAAACACTGTCGGAAAAACCAAGACTGGAGAGTCACTTGTAAGCCGCCCCCATTAATCCCAACGTACATGTACATGTTTTTAGTTGTCTCTTGGGTTCTCAAAGCCGCAGTTGGGTTCTCCACATAGTCCTAAGCCTCTTGGTATCAATGGGATTAGTCCTCCCACTGGGGCTGGGTTCAAACGCAAGCTGGACTCATCTTCTAGCTCTGAATCGATGGTCACGCCCACTAAAAAGAGCAACCTATTCATGCAGTGTATAGAAGAAAAGTAAGAGAGAGAAGGAATAATGGAACGTATGTGTGTGTACATCTGTACCTTATGTCCACTTTAAAACATACATACAATGTACAGTTAAACCTGCTATTGTGGACACTCTAAAATAAGGACACCTATAATGAGGAGGGGTAGTATCAGTCCCAATACAATAGTAATGTGTATTAATGAACCTCTGAAATAAGGACAGGTTCATAATCAGGAGCTAGGGTATTATTGGGTCCCAAGGTGTCCGGAATAGACAGGTTTGACTGTACATGCCTTGTACAGTGCATGGCCAAATCTCCAAGGCATCAAAAACATTGAAATTAATTTATTTATTTACACTGTATTTATTTATTTATTATTTGTACTTGTAGATCTTCTGCAGTACCACAGGAGACAGAGGAAGGAGGAGGAGGTGGTGGTTTTATTTTTGGTCAAGAGTTAGCGAGTCGTGTTGCAGTACGTCTGGTTTGTTTATTGTCGTTTATTTTTGTGCATTAATTAGAATGCTGATGTTAAGAGTGGTTGGGGTGTGGCTAGCGGTGATGAGACCACGCCTCCTAAAGACTCGAATAAGGAACTGATTGGTAATAAAAGTATGTGAAATTAAGAAATGATGAGTGTATCTCTCCTTCCTCCTCTCTCTCTCTCCCTCCTCTCTCTCTCCCCCTCCCTCCAGGTGAAGAGAAAGCCATTAATACTAGCTCCCTGACATTTAGTGGCCAGCCTTCACCTTCCCTACCTGAAGTACAAAAGATTACAGGAGAAGAAGGAGAGAGACATGTTATGCAAGTAAGAACAAAATACAATATAATTCGACTATCAATTTCTCTCTCTTTCTTCATTCAGATCAGCTGCAAGTTGTTTGTATACGACCGCAGTGCCCGCCTTTGGAAGGAAAGAGGTCGCGGAGAGCTCCGTCTTAACGATGCCCCTCAATCAGAGGGCGTGTATCAGTCTCGTCTTGTCATGAGAGCCTCTGGGAGCTATCGTGTTCTACTCAATACTAACGTCTGGAGTGGAATGAACTGCGAGAGAGTCAGTCCTCAAAGTATTAGGTTGACTGCACAGGAAAGTGACGGAGAGTTTGGTATTTACTTGATAAAGGTAAGAAAAGATAAAGAATCGATTTAATTGAGTTATGTGTGGCTGTTGGCTTGATGCTAATACATTACATGTATAATTTACAATGACATTAATTTTTTATTACAATACGGTATAGCGGGAAATTTTTGAGGGAACTAAAATTTGGCGGATTGCTAATTTTGGTGATTGGCGAATTTCAATTTGGTGAATTTGTGGCCATGTGCCATTGAGCATGCGTATAATGGCTCAAAATGGCTGATTTTATTTTGGCAAATGGCTGCCAAAATGCCAAATTCGCCAAATTTAATCCCCTCTGAAATTTCTCACTATTATGGTACAGTACATGTGAATATTTAAGTTTTTTTATACAATTATTCTCTTTTCCCCAGGGTGCACTTAAAGACATTCATGCCGTCTTCACGTCAGTTGATCAAAGGTTACAAGCCTTGCGTCGGTCCTCCTCCTCTTCTGATGCTAAGCAACAGGCCCCTCCCCCTGTCCTCTCTCCTCCCTTGCCTCACGAGAAGGAGGGAGGAGAGAGGGAGAGAGAGAAAGTGAGAGGAGCGTCGTTTGACGAAGAGAGCATTGTGAGCGATAGAAACTCCGCCCTTTCCTCTCCTGATTCGTCTCCTGAACGACAGAGAGAGAGGCTCCGAGTTTCCAAGGAAACGCTGACCACGCCTTCTTCCGAATCTAACGATTTCATTGGAGGGAAAGGTCACGAAGCGACGTCCACTAATATTTTATTAAATTCATCAGCCGATACTAAAGAGGCTCCACCCACTGATTCATAACCATGCCCACTTTCATTCAAACTCTCTGTTGTGCTATTATGAAGTAGATGTTATTCCCTGTGTTGTTGCTAATGATGTAATTTTAATATTTTGATGATAATCATGAAAAGGTATTAAGATAATAACTGTCATGTATTTCATTTAATAATAATAACAATAAAGATAATAATAATAATTAATGATTTTTAACAACAATAAAAAGTTATAGTTCCATTGGTGGGCGTGCCATTAGTGGGTGTGGTTTTTAAAAGATGGCGACTGCTGCAACGACACAACATGCACAAGAAGAACCTTTGTCTCCCCTCGCTACGAAACTAAGTCAACCGCCCTATCAACTGCACGAGGCTGTCTTCAAAGGTGACGCCGAGACAGTAAAGACATTACTAGAGGAAGACAAGAGCGTAGTAAACGTTCCTGACTGCCATGGTAAGGATACCTCTCTTTGTTGTGACTCTGTTTTGTGTCTTTAGGTAACACTCCACTTCATTTAGCAGTGATGCTAGGGAATGAAGGTATCCTAGTATATTCCAATTGCAATAATCAAAAAATCAACACGACTGTTTATTTTTTAAAAATTATCTTGAATTTCATTTCCAGCCATTATCAAACTACTGGTGAGTTATAATGCTAGTGCAAGGTCTAAGAACTCACTCGGCTGGACACCATTGAATGAATCAGTTAGCTATGGGGACAGAACTATAAGTATGTACAATGTAGTGTACTTTCATATCATGTAAAAGAGGCCGTGTAATATGTACATGTACATAATATATAAATTATCTTATATTTAAGGCCTTTCTACACTTGAACTGGTTTAGAACTGATCCACTAATACTGCGTTTACACTAGCTTCTTTAACTGAGCTAGCCCTGTTTAAAGTGGGCCAGCATAGTTTCATTTGATAGTGTAAACAGTAACCAAACTGAGCTGGGCCAAACCAGGCCAGCATGGTTAGTACAGGAGGGCCAGCTCAGTCTGGCTCAGCACGGTTTGGCCCACTCCCCTGTAGTGTAAACGCAGCATAAGACAAAAAAGCCTGAAAAATGGTACATCCTTTGATTTATGGAAGTAGTTATATGCTAGTTAATTTTAAGTAGTTAATTAACTATCTGTTTCCTTAACATATATAGAAATTGAGAATGAGAAGATGAAAGTTGAAAATGAAATTGAAATTAATGAAAATGTGTCATCCCATCAATTGAGCAATAAATACATTTAATAAAATACTTTCATGTATATGTACATGTATGTAGCAATTGCATTTTATATAGCCTATTAATCTAAAATTGATGTTTTTTAAATAGCCATAACTCAAAAAGTTGAGCTCAGAATTAGCTCAAACTTTCCATACACAGCATAAGGACATCAATTTGTATCAGAAAATGTAATAAAAATTGGGGGATTCTTGAAAAAAGCATGGGCTATATACATGTAGTAGTACATGGTCAATACTATTATTATTATTGTTATCATTGCAATTACAAAAATTAAAATTAAAATGACACTTAGAAATTAAACCTATATCCAGTCAGTCGGTCAGTCGTATTACCAAATCTACATACGTGTCAATAATTAATGCTTTGATTTGCATTCCCCAATCTTCTTCAACCTACAGTACATGCATAATAAATGGTAAAGTGATGAGGTGTTTAATTAACTGATAGTACATGTACATGAGGATACATGAGGTTTACTGACCTTGCTTCCTCTGCCTCTTGTATTCCTGATCTCTCTTCATCTGTTAACTCTTTCATTCTCTCTCTATTGTCTCTAAATAATTATAAACAGTAAGAGGTGTATGTAAGTGTGTCTGTATACATAATGTGTGTGTGTTCATTAGTACTTGTAATATATGACATATCCATCAGAGTGGTATAGTCCTAATGAGTATCTGCCTGAACTGATGGAGTACCAGTCTAAATAATTCTCAATATGAAGACATGATCGGTCAACTGGAAATGATTGCCCCTATAGTCAGAAAGAGAAAGAGTATCTTTAATATGTTTTAATGACTAACCTCTGTACAATAGATATACTCAGCAGGAACTTCACTTAACTCTGACAGCTGTAAAGGAATAATATAATGTGATACTGATACATGTTCTCTATTATTACAATTATGATTATTTCAAATAATACACATACCTTTCCAATAACATGTTTAGGATCATCATACTTATCCAGTATAATTTCTTCTATTGGATCAACTGAACATTGTGATGGACGCCATCTTATAACATACACTTGTATCTGTCCATAATGCCTCTTCTTCTCTGGTCCTGATACAATATAATTAATATACACATGTACTAACATTAAACTTGCATCATAAAAAGTACAGCACAATATACTGACCTTTTAATGGTTCCACATACATTTCCCTACTGTCAATCAACTCATGATTAAAATATAGTCTACCAGGGGACACTCTAATCTTGTCACGTAATCTCATTCTACACAATGAGTCACATGATAGTCACATGATGTACTTACTTGTCTAATTCAAGGACACAGTCAATTCCTTGTACTTTTGCTTCTTCAATAACTTGTTTCTTAAATTCTCTCACTGTTGTATCCTTAGTAACAATAGACTCCATCATAAAATTACAAAACTAAAAAAAATAAAAGATAAATTACCGTATAGCAAAAACTTTTGAAGGCTGTAAATTTTGCGAATTTGCTTTAAAATCTATTTTGCAAATTTAATTTTTGTGAATTTATGCCGTCTGCCATCTTGTACCGTAATAATTTGATTTTTGGAAATCTTCAGAAAATCATGAAATCTGTAAAATTTACAGCCTTCAAAAATTTTGCGCTATACAGTAATCATAATAATTAATATTCTATACCTCTGTATTATTAACTTGAAATAAATATAATTTAATTATGACCTCTCCTCTTCCTAATCCTCTACCCAGTCTTATTATCAACTAGTAGATACACAAAGTAATAAAGAGATGAGTGTGTGTGTGTTATTAGTACTTATAATAGTATATAATGGAAAGGAGAAGTGAATCAAATAACACAATAAACTATACCTCTGATCCAGATCTAATATACATGTACTTTAATGCCCCTCCCAGTCCCTGCATTTCATACCCACTGATTCCATACACTATAAAACCAGTAGGTGGTACACCAATCAGTGGAACTAGCTCCTCCTTCAATTGAGCTAATGTTATTCTCTTATCAACTTGTACCTGTATCTCTGTAACAAATAATAATAATATTAATAGTGATCTTTTATTATAGTACAAGTTAATATACTTCTTTCTTTTCCTTTATTTTCTTCATTCATTGATATAATTTTCATTATTATTCCTCTTTTAGTAACAATAGTTGTAGTGGGTGTGGCTTCAGGTCCAGGAGCCGGAGGTAGAATAATGTTCAGTAATATTGAGCTGACGTGAAAATCAACATATTTGTACATCAAACTATTTTTGAATTCTTTTTGATAATCTTTAGGATCTGATGATACATACAACTGTGTGCATATGTGTGTGTGTGTGTGTGTGTGTGTGTGTGTGTGTGTGTGTGTGAAGGATAAAATAGATAGTATAAAAATTAAATTGTTAACTACTGTATAAGGTGACAGATTGTTAGCAGGAATTAATAAAGCAGATTAATTACAAAATAAAATCACACCAATTATTTCAGTCATTACTTGTTCGTATATATATGGACTAATGATGAGTATGTCTCTTAGAGTGTCTCCTATATCACTAATATCATGGACTGAATCACTCCTGTAATCCTCCTCCAATACTATTCTCATACATGATGATTTGATATTAAGTAACTAAATAAAGAAATGAACCAGATCAATGGAAGGAGATCAATACTAAATGACAGTATATCCTTCCTCTTACTTCTCCTATATGTTCTTTTAATTCTTCAACAGTCCAACCTAGCTCTCCTCTCACTAGTTTAGCTGGTCCTACTTCACCAGTTGACAGATCAACCACTGATACCTTTAGATTAATACCTACACCATCAAACACATGTACATGTAATCAGAGGTGTTGTCATGGTAACAAATCACACCCACCTCCATAATTATATTTCTTAAAGGTTTCATTTTCTGTACGAGTTTCTAAGAATAAGCAATAATCTCCAGCCCTACCTACAATCTGTCCAATAGTTTGATGTTGAAACTAAATTTAATAATATGCTATTGTAACAATAGCATAGATAACACTTACCTCATGAAAGGATTGTCCCATTACTTTATTCTTATAATCATATTCAACTAAACGGCATCTGTCAATAGGAATATGAGGAGCTAATTCTATTAACTGATAAGGAAAAATGAACGAAAATGAAAGAATAAACAGATATACATGACAGATCAATAAACCTCATAAGCTTTATCCAGTACACTGGGTAGTAATTCATCTTTATGAACTTTAAGTTTTGACTCCATTAATTCACCAGTAACAGGATGATTACAATATAATGAGAACTATAGAAAATAAAAGTAAGTAGATGAGCACTATAATATTGACTGTCTCACTCTTACTTCAAGTATTTCTTCTTCAATTTTTTGTTTCTTTTCTCTCTGTCTCTTCTCATCCTCAATCTCTTTCAAATCTATTCAAATATCAACAATCAAATGATGACACACAACACAAATAAAACCTTTAATATCTTTTATAATCTTCTCATTGTGCTCTCTTTCAGTCATTAGTTCCATATTCATTAATGTTATTCTTTCTTGTAATTTCTCTATTATTCTTTTATTATCTACTAATGGCTGATAGTCTGGACTGGT